TACAGTAGAGCCTCGATTATCCGCCCTAATTGGGGACTGGGGTTGGTCGGATAATTGAAAAGTCGGATAACCGAAAAGTATGAAAAAATCCATTATTAGTGTAGTATATTATTATATCCCATGTAATTAGTATATTAGTATATCGCTATTAACCTATTTTGCGTTGAATTTTCATCGATGTTAAGCCTAACAAAAATTTTTTAAAATAATAATCGTCGCTATTGTATCGTTAAAAATTAGAAAATTAAGCTTCGTTTAAATACTGGCTCCCTTTCATGGTTGATCCAGTGTTGCCAGCTAAAACACGTAAAAATAATATTAAAGTAGCCAAGACATAGTCAAATATTGTAGCGCTGCATCACTAGCAGACATTTGAATTTGCCAACTAGGACAGTCGGTTAATCGGCGGTCAGATAATCGAGGCTCTACTGTACTATTTTCAGAGATACTAAAACCTAAAAATAGTGCATCTTACATTCAAGTAAATACAGTAATAATTTAATTTTAATAAACAAATGATAAAAATTGAATCAATCAATTTTGATATTACAATATAATGATCTATAATATAATGTAAGAATTAATCATGGAAGCTTCTTTAGTATACTTTTTTATATATTGATTGTGTTCATAGGGTAAAGTATTATTGTAAGGTTGCCGACAGGGGTGAGAAATGCCCAAAATAGTCGAGGGGTCATGACAAGCATATGTGGGAATGACAAACTGCATGAAGACAGGTGTCCATCTTTTACAACATTTAATAAAATATAAAAACTTTCTTACAACAATTTCTTGAAATATGAATATCACCACTCAGAGAACAAGAAGTAAGTCCACAATAACAATCCAAAAGTTTAAGATGTTTCCTTACATTCTTTGTTGTTGACAATAAGCTTGCTGGCCACAGGGCATATGGCACGGTTCTCTTGTCAACTAGGTAAATTGGAATGACATGGGGTGACACAGCTGACAAGGGCTGGCTCCGGCGATGTCTGCACTTTTTTTTTGGTGAACTCTTACAAAGGCACCTATGTTTGAGTTAACAGAACTATGATCCAAGAACCTTGCAGCCTTGAATCACATGCTTATATAAGTTTTACCCTCAAAGTTGGCGTTTAATTAGTCTTTCATCGTCACCTGGATTGACACCTGTCAAGGGGGGCATGGGAGAGGTCACCTTCTTGACTTAACACGACTCATCTCTAACCACCTTTCTCTTGACTTTGGTCCTTTTTACACAATTCATCCTTTGTTTAAATATCCAAGAAAAAACTTTCATTGTTTTAATGAGACTGAATTGTCTTATGTAAAGAAGTGCAATAAAAATAATTGTAAAATTATCTTTATTGAAAAAGAACAAGTCCATGACTCTTTACAGAGTCATGAACTTGTTCTTTTTCATAGCAGTTAAGACATAATAACTATATAGTATAGCTTTATCAGTTTAAAGAAAACAATGGATTGCCTTCATTATATCAAATTCCAGCTAAGGAATAATTCTTATATAAAAATACATTGTAAAAATACAAAGCATTAAAGACCAATACAAATATATTATTCTTGTCTTCTCTGTTGTCCTCTTTTAACATCATAGGAATATGATCCACACAGTGGAGTTGACCTTTCTTTTTAGGCTACTTTTTCCACCTATATTTATGTAAATCAGGTAAAAAGTTCCTTGACTATGGATTCCATCAATAAAAATTTTTTTTATTGATGGAATCTGTGATGGCTGTGTGGATCATGTTCCTGTGATGTTACATTCCGAACATGGTATTTACATTCCGAAAAAGTGCTGTGTTATGAGAATTCATGCTATATGAAACAAAGGACTAATGCAAAACATAGGGTTGTATTCCAGAAGTTAGCAAAAGTATACTATTCTTTTTTTTGTTACTAAGAGAAATATGTTTATTAAAGTAATCGATAATTTATTTCCAATCAATAATTAATTCATAATCATAATTAAAAGTAATGTATTGTGCATTAATATTGATTTTAGTTAAATGATTGCATTTTCTTTTTACAAAGTATCATTGTCATCTCCAAAATAGCCCA